TTGTGTATATGCTTTATATTTTTAAGTACTAAGTTCGATTTCTTATTATATACTTTTATGTTTATTTTTATATCCTATAGTTTATGTATTATTTATAACTGATATAAAAGATGTTTATTTATTTTCTATGGTAATATGTGCTTTAGATATACTTGGGGAAGGGAAAAGGTCTGATTTATTTGTTCTATGTCTTTTATTTATTTTTAACTTGTTTTTAATTCAAATATACTATTTTAATGAATTCGATTTTTTAATTTAAACAATCCTAAATGTTGTGTGTATAATTTTATATGTTTGTTTGTATATACTATTTATTTGTTATCTTGAAATCGGTTAAGTTCGGTTCTACTTCGGAATTTTTCGGCCCGTCCGTACCTGACCACTGTTTCTATGTGTTGTAAGTGTATAGATATTTATATATGTGTGTATGCGTGTATGTGTGTATGTCCCGTTGTGTTTTGTTTCTTACGTTTCTATACTGTTTGTGCCTATTGAGATTTATATGTATTTTTATATTTATTTATTTACTTTTTCTATTTTGTTTTTACTTTTATATATATACTATTTAGCTATTTAGACTATTATTTTTATTTGTTTAATTATTAATTTTGAAGATATAAAGGCTTTTTATTGTGAGTATATACTTAACCGTTATAAGTAACTGGAATGTCTCGCGTCACTCTAACACCTGCGCGGATGACTCAACCTTACGCCGGCCGCTTAGGTTGCTTTCGTCTCGTGCGTTTCCCCAGCGGTTTAGCGAGTGTGTCTACTATTTATTTATATAGGTGTTGGGGTTCAGTTCCGTAAAAGAGAAATTTTTTATTTGTTGTTTATTTTACTGACTGTTTGGATTCTATGGGTGTACTTTATAATTTATATATGTATATATATACATGTATATATGTTTATATATACATGTATATCTATATGTATGTTTTCTAAGGGGATTCTACTAATTACTTTATTTTATTTGATTATCTTTTGCTGATTATATATTTTTAATTTAAATTTTAAGGTTTATTTTATTAATTGGATTTTATGATTTTGAAGAGATGCTTTATATTTTTATTTTTATACTATATCAGTTATATACTTCAATGTGTTTTACTAATTTTTATTCGGATAATTTGTTATGATATTTCTGTTCAATCGATATTGAACCTTATTGTAGTGTGAATACAGTCGTAACAATTTGTTCTCTATACTATCGTAGTGGATGATTTGCACACCTGCCTGTTCGGCTTTTATCGTGTAGATCCGCCGGCTCTCGGAATGTGTTGCTCTGCCTGAATAGACACCTGTTTGCGTGACGTCACGCTGCGATGGTCGTTTGGATCTTATTTGCCCCGGCGGCTTAGCGAGTGTGTCTACGTTTTTTAGTTTTAAGTGTAGGTTCGATTTTATATAATGAATTTTTTATTTTACTAATTTTTGATGTAGTTTCTTATACTTGATTTATGTATATTCTATGTGTATATGTTTGGATATATGTACTTAAGGGTGTATGTGTTGCTTTAGTGTGTGTGTAGTTGTGTATGTGATGTTTTGTTGAATGTTGTGAATGTTTGCGTGATGTATGTGTGTGTATGTGTCTGTTAATTATATTTGTGTGGAACGTATGTCTTAAGTTTTATGTTTATATATATTTTGCGCCTTGAGATAAATTTTACTTTATATATTTTCCAGTATAGATATGCTTTGTTCAATTTTAATCCTTATGTTCTATTTATAAAGTCGGAAATCGTTCGTCAAGTCCAATATTTACTGTAGTTATTACTGTTGGGTATGAGAGAGGTGAGGGTTTTTGCTCAGGGGCGAGGGGCGCAGTTCTTTAGTCGCTTGATCGTGTAACTATGGAGCGTTGGAATGTCGTTTCGCTCGGCGGCCACCTGCTTACGTGACGTCACGGTCCGCTGGCCGGCCGACTTGTTTACGTCTCAGATAGTTGCCCCAATGGCTCAATGAGTGTGTCCGCGATTTTTATTTTTTTTGGTCCTAGGTTCAATTTTACAAAAAAGTTTTTTCGATGCTATTTTATATTATGTTGATGTTAGGGCGTAATTTTTTATTAATAGGCAATATTATATTTTATTTTAGTTAGTAGTTATAGATTATTTTGGTTTATGATGTACAACTTTTATCTATTTATATGATGCAGTCTTTATTAATCTTATTTATATTTTAATGAATTTTTGTTTAGTAGTATTCTATTGTTAAAATTTTTAAATAATTTTTATAATAGTTATTTATTTTAGATGTTTATCTATATTTATTTATTTATTTCTTATTAATTGATCCTAATTTATTATATCTATATTACAGTTTTACTATGATTTAAATCGCTCGGCTTTTTCGACTATTCCTATGTTCAATGCTACAGGGTGTAAGAGGGGTGAGGGTTTTGCTTGAGGGGCAAGGGGTACAATTCTTAGTACGCTCCGCCTTGTAACTATGGAGCGTTGGAATGTTGTTTACGTTTGTGGCTGCCTGCGTACGTGACGTCACGGTCCGCTGGCCAGTTGAGTATGTTTGCGTCTTGATGAATGCCCCGATGGTTTGGCGCGTGTATCCGCGACTTTTATTTCCGGGTCTGGGGTTCGATTTTATGAAAATATTTTTATATGCTATTTTATATTCTACTGATTTTTGGGATGCAATATGTTAGGTTAAGCTACTTTGTTACTTTTTTATTAAGTTTTTTATGGGATATTAGTACTCTTTTTATTTCGTTAATGAATTTCGTTATTTGGTTTTTAGTTTTGTTTATTTTTATATTTATATTTTACGTAATGTGGTAATCTTTTTTATTTATATATTTGATTTAAGGAATTTTTGACAAGGTTTTATATTATTATTTATTTACTGGTTATATATATTTTATTTTATTATATTTTCTTTAGGATGTAATTTTATAATTGTTCTAGGTTATGTTTATGATTTAAGTTTTTATTATTTATTATTGTTCTTTACTTTATGTGTTATATTTTATTATTTCAGTTTAGGCTGTATGGGTATATTCCTTTGCCTGCCGCTTCACAGTTTGTTTGCCGCTCGAAGCTCCTTACTTCTCGACGGCTCACTCAGTGACTTGGCGGGTGTGGCCGGGATTTATATTTTTCGGTGTTGGGTTCAAGTTTATGTCGAGAACTTTTTTACGTATTTTTTAGTTTTTTATTGTTTTTTAGGTTTTAAAATTAGGTCTGGTAATTTATTATTTTATTTTTATCAACTACGGTTTTTAATTATTTTTAATTTTAACTTTAGTCGAATTTTTTGTACGTGATGTATTAAGTAGGAATTTTTTACTCTATTGGTGTATATTTTATTTCGCTATGTTATTTTATATGTATGAATTTACGAGTTTTGGGTTTTATAATTTGTTGGTTTTATAGTTTATTGTACTTTCGTATGCCTTGTGTATTTTACTTTGCTATTTTAATTTAGGCTGTATGGGCGAACGTCTTTGCCTTCCGTGCTGTAGTCCGCGGGCCGCTCAAGGCTGCCTGTTTCTCGAGAGTTGACTCACTAGCTTAGTGGCGCGTTCGAATTTATATTTTTAGAGATGTATATAATTTATGTATAATGAGATTTTTATTTGCAATTCTATATTTTATTACTTTAAATATAACTTGTTCGGGAGAATATTATACTAAACCTTATTTCGCTTTTTGTTTTTTGTCTTTTATATTTTTATGGTCCTAAAGTTTCTACAATTTGCTTTACTTATTATTCGTTTTATAATTTTTTATTAATTAAGGCTGTATGAGTATATGTCTTTGACTTAAGTTTTTGTATTATTTGTATATATTTTATTTATTATATTGACTTTACAATTATATGGAGTGGATAATTTACTATTTGTTTTTACGATTTACACTTTACACTTTTATTATATTACAATCTGTTTTACTTTTTATGTTTTTATTTTATTATATTAACTTAGGCTGTATGGGTGTATTCCTTTGCTCGCCGTAATTGATCCGTCTATGGAGCGTGCACGTGTCTACTTTGCTTAGCTCGCTGCCCGGTACGTCGACTACTTGGAATGTTGTTTACGTTTGGATGTGTACTTGTGTGCGTAGCGCTACGGTCCGCCGACCGTTCGAGAGTTGCCCTAGTGGTTTAGCGAGTGTGTCCGTGTTTTTATATTTCTGGGTAGTAGGTTCGAATTTTTAGAAAAAATTTTTTAAAAGTTTTTCTATACTTTATGGATGTTAATGTATATTCTATGTAGATAAAATGTATTTATTATTTTAATTATTTTTGAGGTGTTTATTCTATAAGTTAGATTATCTGTATATGTGTATATGTTTCAATGAACTTTTACTTTTTATTTTATGTTTTGTCAAAATGTGCTATATTTTTATTTTTATTTATTATTATCCTAATGTATTCTCTTTTTTGTTTTTTCGTATATACCAAATTTTATTTTTGTCGAATAAGGTTAGGTTAGGTTAGGTTAGGTTAGGTTAGGTTAGGTTAGGTTAGGTTAGGTTAGGTTAGGTTAGGTTAGGTTAGGTTAGGTTGGGGCGTGGGTCGGGCAACCTCCTAGTATGGGCCTGCCATTGGGAGGCTTCCCCATCCTCGTGGATACGTCCGCGGGGAACGGTGGCCGAGCAATGGTTTGGTTCTGGTACGCCCCGGGCGGGATAGTAGTCGTTCCTTCGGGATACGGCTACTATGTCGGCCAGTAGCCCGGCAGGTTGGGCGTGTTCGCGGTTCCCATGCCTCGACAAAGTCGAGGCTGCCGGAGCCGGCGAACCCCCCCAACTTCCTCTTCGTTTTTCTTTTGTTTTTGTTCTTCTTCTTTTGGTTCGGTTGTTTTGTTCTCCTTCTTTGTGTTCAAATTTGTTTGTTTTGGTTTTAGTTTGTTTTGGTTGTTGTCTGTCTTTTTTTCTGTCTTTTGTCTTTTCTGTCTTTTGGTTATTTTCTTTTTCTTTCTTCGTCGTTGGTGGCAGGAGGTCGGGACCACACCCGTAAAAAGGAAAATCATCATCATGGCTGAACGAAAAAGTATATTACCCCAGGGAGGTACCGGTCGCTCTGCGGCCGGAGAATCCTCCCCCACCGCACCGGATTCGCCGGGGGTGGGCCGTCCCACGTACTCTGGGGGGGACACGGGCAGCGATGAGGAGAGGTATCAGAAGGAGCTGATACGGAAGTACGGGGCCGTTAGTTACCTGGAGGCCCTCGAACTGCACGTAGCGGACATGGACTCGGAATGCACAGGGTCCTCAATGTCATTCCGGTCCGATGACAACCTTGGGGAGGCGAGAGGGAGTACCTCGCCCCCCAAGAAACATCGAAAGAGGAGGATCGCAGAGAGAGGTCAGGAGGAGCTGGACTCCGATGACGATGAAGCCGACCACGTGCAGCTGTCATCTGCTGCACGGAGGAGCAGGGCCAGGGGCCCTCCAACGGCCAAGAGGGGAGCGCGAACGGCCAAGTCTGCGGCGCGATCGGAGACAGGGGTTTCGGCCTCTGGACCCGAATCGTCCAGGTCCGTCTCGCGCGTCCGAAGAGACTCGGAGGAGAATGCCACATTGGGCGCCGACGAGCTGGGCGCCAAGGTGGAAAATAGTGCCCTTCAGGTCCTTGCTGCAGTCAGAAAGTCCAGCAACCTGAAGGGCACTATAGTCGGAGAGATCAACCGCGCCATCCACACCATCCGATCGGCGTCGGGTGCCCTGAGGCAAAGGTCGTCAAACCCGGAGGAGGAAGCCCTCAGGCGGGAGGTCCGCAAACTCCGTGAGGAGTTGGACGAGGTCCGGGAGATGAAGGCTGCGATGCTGAAGGAGTCTGTCGAGGAGAGGAAGAAGTGCCGACAGCTCCAGATGGCGTCGCAGTCTTCCGCCGCGCTGGCCGAAGAACTGGCCATGTTGAAGGCGGAGCGCGTGGAGTGGGAGCGGCAGGCGCGCGATAGCGTTCGACAGTTGAAGGAGCTCAAGGACTCGAACGCTCTCGACCGCGCCGCCCTTCACAAAGCGCTGCGGCAATTGGAGGAGGCCAAAACCGCCGCTGAATTGCCTCCAGTGGTGATCACCGGGACAACGGCGGAAGCGCCGGAAGGTGCCACGCCCCGGACCCTATCGGAGGCCGCCGAAGACCGGATTATCCGGCGAGTAGGCGAGATCATGAACAGCCGCTTCGCCGAGATGGAGGAGCGGATCTCGGCGAAGCGAACGCGGCCACAAAAGGCCGCCAAGAGTACGCCTGCTGCCGGGTCTTCCGGTGCAGCAGCCGATAGGGTCCCGCAGGTCGGGGAGCCCAGCGAGGGAGGAGTCCCGCAACCGTCGACCTCAGCAAACAAGGAGGGATGGTCGACGGTTGTACGGCGTGGGAAGCGCAAAGGCGCTGGCGCAGGCCAGGCGGCTCCCGCCAATGCGCGCCCGGCGAAGGGGCCACGCGGTGGCCAAACAGCGGCACCGCAGCGGAACGCACCCGCTCGGAAGAAGAAGGCGAAAGCACGCCCTCCTCGGTCATCGGCGGTGGTTCTCACCATGAGGCCGGGAGCCGAGGAGAGAGGCGTCACCTACAGGTCGGTGCTCACCGAAGCGAAAGCCAAGATTTCCTTGGCCCAGCTCGGTATCACCGACCTGAGGTTCCGAGTGGGAAGAACCGGGGCTCGTATCCTGGAAATCCCTGGCGCAAACACAGGCGAGGTGGCAGACGCGTTGGCTGCCAGAATCGAGGAGGTCCTGCCCGAGGACGCAGTCCGGGTCTCCAGGCCAGTCAAGTCGGCCGAACTGAGGATCGGAGACCTGGACGACTCGGTGCTGGTAGCTGACGTGGTCGTCGCTGTGATGCGCGAGGGGGGTTGCCTGGAGTCCTCGGTGAAAACCGGGGAAATCCGGCGCAACTCCCAGGGTACGGGCTCCGTGTGGGTGCGGTGCCCTGTAGCCGCCGCGAGGAAGCTAGCCGAGGCCGGCCGACTAAAGATAGGGTGGGTGATGGCGCGGGTACAGTCGCTGGACCCGCGTCCTCAGCGGTGCTATCGGTGCCTACTTACAGGCCATGTGGGTATCCGATGCACCGCCGGGGAAGACAGCAGCGGAATTTGTTTCCGCTGCAGCGAGCCCGGCCATAAGGCCGCACGGTGCGCCGCGCCATCACCGAAATGCCGGTACTGTGCCGCGGCGGGTCGCAAGTCCGACCATAGAGTGGGCGTCACGAACATGTGTCGCCCGCCAAAGGCTCGAGCCGCGGCACGGGCCACAGGTGGGGGGGGGGAGTCGATGGACACTTGAGTAAAATCAGGTGTGCATCGACTCCAAAATTGACCCTAGGGTGGAGGATTGTTAGGGCAATCCGAAGCTCGCCGGGGAGGTTTTAGGGTCTGGAGGTGGCGTGCAGAGACTGTTCCCTGCACGCCTAGATGGAGGTCCCTTCGATGGGAACCATGCCGGTGGTCTTGGTGAATGCTTTGCGTATCCCATGGCCACGGCGATTATGTCGAGGAGGAACAGTCGTCAGGTTTTTAGCAGGTAGGAGTCCGGCAGTATCCATTCTTCCCTAAGGGAATGGTTCTCCATGATGGATTTTCCTGACGTGAAAAAAAAAAAAAAAAAAAAGGTTAGGTTAGGTTAGGTTAGGTTAGGTTAGGTTAGGTTAGGTTAGGTTAGGTTAGGTTAGGTTAGGTTAGGTTAGGTTAGGTTAGGTTAGGTTAGGTTAGGTTAGGTTAGGTTAGGTTAGGTTAGGTTAGGTTAGGTTAGGTTAGGTTAGGTTAGGTTAGGTTAGGTTAGGTTAGGTTAGGTTAGGTTAGGTTAGGTTAGGTTAGGTTAGGTTAGGTTAGGTTAGGTTAGGTTAGGTTAGGTTAGGTTAGGTTAGGTTAGGTTAGGTTAGGTTAGGTTAGGTTAGGTTAGGTTAGGTTAGGTTAGGTTAGGTTAGGTTAGGTTAGGTTAGGTTAGGTTAGGTTAGGTTAGGTTAGGTTAGGTTAGGTTAGGTTAGGTTAGGTTAGGTTAGGTTAGGTTAGGTTAGGTTAGGTTAGGTTAGGTTAGGTTAGGTTAGGTTAGGTTAGGTTAGGTTAGGTTAGGTTAGGTTAGGTTAGGTTAGGTTAGGTTAGGTTAGGTTAGGTTAGGTTAGGTTAGGTTAGGTTAGGTTAGGTTAGGTTAGGTTAGGTTAGGTTAGGTTAGGTTAGGTTAGGTTAGGTTAGGTTAGGTTAGGTTAGGTTAGGTTAGGTTAGGTTAGGTTAGGTTAGGTTAGGTTAGGTTAGGTTAGGTTAGGTTAGGTTAGGTTAGGTTAGGTTAGGTTAGGTTAGGTTAGGTTAGGTTAGGTTAGGTTAGGTTAGGTTAGGTTAGGTTAGGTTAGGTTAGGTTAGGTTAGGTTAGGTTAGGTTAGGTTAGGTTAGGTTAGGTTAGGTTAGGTTAGGTTAGGTTAGGTTAGGTTAGGTTAGGTTAGGTTAGGTTAGGTTAGGTTAGGTTAGGTTAGGTTAGGTTAGGTTAGGTTAGGTTAGGTTAGGTTAGGTTAGGTTAGGTTAGGTTAGGTTAGGTTAGGTTAGGTTAGGTTAGGTTAGGTTAGGTTAGGTTAGGTTAGGTTAGGTTAGGTTAGGTTAGGTTAGGTTAGGTTAGGTTAGGTTAGGTTAGGTTAGGTTAGGTTAGGTTAGGTTAGGTTAGGTTAGGTTAGGTTAGGTTAGGTTAGGTTAGGTTAGGTTAGGTTAGGTTAGGTTAGGTTAGGTTAGGTTAGGTTAGGTTAGGTTAGGTTAGGTTAGGTTAGGTTAGGTTAGGTTAGGTTAGGTTAGGTTAGGTTAGGTTAGGTTAGGTTAGGTTAGGTTAGGTTAGGTTAGGTTAGGTTAGGTTAGGTTAGGTTAGGTTAGGTTAGGTTAGGTTAGGTTAGGTTAGGTTAGGTTAGGTTAGGTTAGGTTAGGTTGGGTTAGGTTAGGTTAGGTTAGGTTAGGTTAGGTTAGGTTAGGTTAGGTTAGGTTAGGTTAGGTTAGGTTAGGTTAGGTTAGGTTAGGTTAGGTTAGGTTAGGTTAGGTTAGGTTAGGTTAGGTTAGGTTAGGTTAGGTTAGGTTAGGTTAGGTTAGGTTAGGTTAGGTTAGGTTAGGTTAGGTTAGGTTAGGTTAGGTTAGGTTAGGTTAGGTTAGGTTAGGTTAGGTTAGGTTAGGTTAGGTTAGGTTAGGTTAGGTTAGGTTAGGTTAGGTTAGGTTAGGTTAGGTTAGGTTAGGTTAGGTTAGGTTAGGTTAGGTTAGGTTAGGTTAGGTTAGGTTAGGTTAGGTTAGGTTAGGTTAGGTTAGGTTAGGTTAGGTTAGGTTAGGTTAGGTTAGGTTAGGTTAGGTTAGGTTAGGTTAGGTTAGGTTAGGTTAGGTTAGGTTAGGTTAGGTTAGGTTAGGTTAGGTTAGGTTAGGTTAGGTTAGGTTAGGTTAGGTTAGGTTAGGTTAGGTTAGGTTAGGTTAGGTTAGGTTAGGTTAGGTTAGGTTAGGTTAGGTTAGGTTAGGTTAGGTTAGGTTAGGTTAGGTTAGGTTAGGTTAGGTTAGGTTAGGTTAGGTTAGGTTAGGTTAGGTTAGGTTAGGTTAGGTTAGGTTAGGTTAGGTTAGGTTAGGTTAGGTTAGGTTAGGTTAGGTTAGGTTAGGTTAGGTTAGGTTAGGTTAGGTTAGGTTAGGTTAGGTTAGGTTAGGTTAGGTTAGGTTAGGTTAGGTTAGGTTAGGTTAGGTTAGGTTAGGTTAGGTTAGGTTAGGTTAGGTTAGGTTAGGTTAGGTTAGGTTAGGTTAGGTTAAGTTAGGTTAGGTTAGGTTAGGTTAGGTTAGGTTAGGTTAGGTTAGGTTAAG